CACAAACATTAAAAACACAATAATTACATATATCAGAAACAATGCTCCAAATGCACTTCCTTCCCAAACAATGCTATAAGAATTAGTGTTACAAAAACAACTACAATTACAACTAAAAGTTAAATTTGAATCAATACTGTTATTTTTCATAATATACTTACAATCCTAGAATTCCGAGAAGCCAAATACCAAAATATGGTTTCATTCCTCAGTAGTACGATTTAATGGGTTGGCCTCAGTAGTACGGTTCAATAGGCTGGCCTCAGCAATACGATTCAATGAGCTGGGCTCACCAGTGATAGGACTACGTCCCCTTCCTTCAGTCCCTTTCGGGCGCTCCGCGGCTTCAGCGTGAACTAAGAGATTCGTGTTCACGGAGAGGCTTGATTAGGCGATCAATCTAATCTGAACTTATACTTGCGATTCTTCCTTCGTTGTTCTGCAAGTGAAGTCACCTCCAAATTGGGACAGTAAGTTACAGGTTTTTATTGAGTGAGCTGCCGTCATTGGGCTCCTCCTACTCAATTCATCATAACTCCCAAATTTGGGCTCGGATCTTACTCAACAGAAATTACCTTTGTTGAGCATTTTTAAATTATTCTTGGGGAGACTTCCATATCACTGTAAATACTCTTTTCTTTTTACCAGTCTGGTTAAAAGGCCCCAGGCTTTGATTTCTCGGAATTTAGGACATTTACTTTCTTTGTAAAAAACTTCTAAAGGTACAATTTAGATTAAGGTTTTAGGCGAAGTCAGGACATTTCGCACGTAGCTCCAAAACAATGAGCTAGATAAGGAGATAGATCCTATCTTCTTCCTGAAACTGGCTAATGGGCAATCTTTACAAACATTCAAACTATTTCATTCAATATGACAAAATGGATATTGCAAAATAGAGAAGCAAGAGTGAACGTCAGTTCCCTGTCACTACCTGACCTGGTTGGTCCTGATAACTTGACAGCTTTGGTGCTGCTTGAATTATTAACTTTTCTTTCAAAGGGGAAAAGTCTTGACATTGGCTCACATGCATGTGCACACACCCAATCTACCCATTCCTGCCCCCCCCCCCCCCCCCCCCCACCCTCTCCTCGCT